AAGCTATCACTAGGCTAGGGTCACTTCAAATTGAGTAAAATTAAAAAAAATCTAAATAACAAAAATATAAATCTTTATTTTGGCAAAAAGAATTGTCAAACATTTTTTATAATAACATTCAAATGTTAATTAAAAATATAAAAAGCAAAGAAAAATAACTAATTTGTATTTCATTTTAATTTTATGTTCATGATTACAATTATTAAAGAAGTCACCACAGAAAGTATCCATACTAGCATAGCTGGGTACTACGTCATACTTGGTGCTTTTTGTAGTGAATGTGTAACTTTTAGTTGATGATTTCTAACATAATTTTGTATAAAAGATGCCTTATTTGTTTTGTTTTTAACTTAGGAAATGTTATTATATTTAGGAATGTACATTCACATGTAAATAAATTACAAAATTGTTCGTTACAAATGCAAAAGTTTGAAAGCATTTTTTTTAGGGTCACTTTTTCAAGTGTTTGTTACAACTCGTTCATTTCTTAATAACTGAATAGTTGTAACATTTGAAACTGTTTATATTAAGAACAAAGACCAAACTATAGCATAAGTTAAGATTTATAGCCCATTGTGCCTCAGGTGTCGTCGATATTGAAGTACAAAATGTGCCTTTTTTTGTGCCTGTTTCGGGTCATCTTAAGTGGCCCACATTATTGTAGAGCTTGTGGTGTGAAAAAACTGTACGTAGAGTTGTGTTTTTTTTATTCATTATTGTAAAGTGTGTTATCGTATAGTAAATGAAGTAAACATTTATTGAAATAATTGCTTAATTTTTTAATGATTACATTTTATATTCAACAAACTAGAATAACTAATGAAATAAACATACCAAAAGGGTGAACGTACACATTTACACATATTCTATTAGCTTATTTAACAATAATTCTAACAACATATCATATTATATAGTTCCCATACATAAATATTAAGATATTGCCATTTTAATGACACGCGCCACGTAGGCAATATAACACTCGTTTAGGGTTTGACAGATGCGCCAAAGCGGCTATTTTGGCCCGGACTGCTGAGAGGATAAAGAAACTCAAATAGAAATAGTTAATAACATTAAATTTCTTGGAGTCACCATAGACTGTCATTTAAATTGGAAATCTCATATTGAAAAAATAAATAAAAAAAATCTCTAGCTACAGTTACGCGTTATCCATATTAGCAGAAACAACATCCGTTGAAGTATCGAGGGCTTATGCAGTACGTTTTCATTGTTTCGAAAATATGGCGGCCACTCGCTAAACTCTGACTAAGGAATTACTTATTACGCAAACATATCGTGATGGTTATTTTGCTCGCATGCAACGTATTTTCGATCTTTCAAAAACAAAAAACGATGCCACTATTCAGAAAATGTTTATGAAACCATCGATTATATCAGGAGTGAATATCACAAGTGCATCCAGGACATCAATTCTATAAATATGGAACTAGATTCCGATTTTACTCCTGAATTCAACACCTGGTGTAGCTTTGAAGACCTGTACTGCCATGATAAACACTAACGATGAATGCTCCCAAGCCTAAGATCACGTTTCCTAAGTTGCCTTCCATAGAAATTGCGGAGTTCCACGGAGATCCTTCTAAATGGAGTCTCTTTTATAAAATATTTAATTCAACTATTAGATCTAATACTGAGTTAACGAACTCAGACAAAATTTATTGTCTGGTTATCAAACTTAAAGGCAAAGCGCAACATGTTTTTTCGGGTATTAATTCCACTGCTGATAATTACCATTCTATTTGGGATGCGTTAATAAAAAAATATCAGGACAAGCGTTATCTCTCGAGTGCTTTTCTTGACTCGATATGTAAGAAATTGATCAATTGCAATAAATGCAAAAAGTATGTAAGAACAACAGAAAATATAATTTTTATCTTAACAGTAATAAGCTATATCATTATATCTGTGTAGGTTGAAAGGCTGATAACTTAAAAAAAATTATATCCTGATATTTCCCTCGCTACAAAGCCAAACAACCGAAGGGAAACAACCGTAAGGGTTATGCAGTACTCGGATAAAGAAAGGAAAGCAGAAATGATTACGTAATGACTCGACGTCGTCATCTGCTTTCTTCGGATTTCCTAGACACCTTCGACTGAATTTGCTAACAAAATGCGCATAGATATACTTGACATAATTAGGAACGAAGTACCTGGTATTATTAATGATCTAATCTGTAAAAAATTCCGAGGCACTGGGATAACATTAGTAAACTGGAAAAATCAATAAAATATGTACGATGATAAAGTGAAGTGTCTGTCCGTAGCAACCGAGGACACTAAGTGTTTAAAAACAGAAAACTACTCTCTCTGCAGCGATCTTAAGGATATGCAGAAAAAGATCTCGATATATAATGGAAGTAAAAGTTGAGACGTCACTTCACCTTCAAAAAGGAAAAATGTCCTTCAGTTTGGATAACGCCGATTAGTGGTTGTGAGTACGAGTTTCTCGGAAAGTAAATTTAATAAGTACATTACAATAAATTTCCCCGCGCAATCAAGTATTAACGTCCACTAGGTGATATCTCGCGTCCGGCTTGATTAATTTTCTGTTGCCTCCTGTGAGGTTTTTGTTTTCTTACCGTTACTTATGTAATGTTGTGGCACGAGAGAGAAATGAAAGCCAAGACTGCTGAGTAGATACGGAATATATTTGCAATAATCAATCCTTAAATAGTTACAATTAGGTTACATTGTGTATATGTTTATATGTAATATGCTTATATCTATTCCTTACATCTTACTTACTTTAAATAGCCCCATCACTTACATCGCTTTCGGCTTTCGACTATGGCAGACGTCGAAATCGAAATAATTACAGCGTCCGCGCTGTGTCTTTTTGCAATACAAAATTATGTTAATAATTTAAAAAGATATCAAGTTCAAAAGAAGATAGATAGATTTTATTTGATAGATAGAATTTATTTGCTTAAAATATAGTACATAAGATCATCAATGACGTGGAACTGACATGTTTTGCCATAATTGGCATGCAAAAATGATATGAAATACAGCTAATTACACAAACCCAATGTTACATTTTAAAATTATTGCATTGCTTAAAAGTTAGTTACAAACATTCTTTTTTGAATTCAAATATTATGTATTAATTAAATACTTTTACAGATCCACTCTATTTGAATTCTTATACAATAAATTGTTCATAAATTATTAATTCAATTATTACATTATTGTTACATAAATAATATTATATATTATATGCGATTAGTTAAGCTATTATTATTTTAATAATTACACTACAGTATAAATTAATTCATAATTTTAATTGCAATAAAATTATAATTTAAAAATCTCAGGCTATATTGCAAATATTATCTACCATTTAACTTATTTTATATTTTAATAAATAAATAATCAATATGAGTTACTAATCGTTTTTAGAAATAAAATGTCAATGTTCATTTATTCCTTAAACTTAACTAAATTTTATATTAAAATAATAAAGACGAATTTATAATTAATTATGTACATAGGTAGTGTTATCTCAAAAAGAAAATTCGTATTCGTAGAAGATGATGAATTGTGGTTTTTATCGTCGAAATCCCATAGTTTTTTCCGATTCCAGCAGTTCTAAAAACTTTATTGTATTTTCATTATTCCACTATGAAAGGTATTTTGGTAGATCGTACTTATTTAATAACAAGACGGCACGCACGTCCGTTCATCCAGGCGCTTGGCGCGAAGTGAGCGATGGAGCTGAATGTGAACACTCACTGCCGCTCGCGCTGCCCGTCCTTTGACTTCCGCACGAAAAACCGACATTTGAGGGATCGTCGGGCAGTGGCAGCGGCAGCGGCAGTGTCAGCGCGAGTAGCCTGTTTACATATTGCCCTGCCCACTGCCCTGGTCACTTCCCTGCCCAACAGGGCTGAATGTAAATGGGGCATAAAGCGTTAAAGTTAAGAGTTTAAGTGAAAGTGTGGTCGTGAGCACGATTGCTAATCATGTGGTCGCAGATTCCAATCCCAGATCAAGCCAATATCTGTTATTGGGTCTATCAGTCAAGAAGCAAGCATTCGAGACTAGATGTCGTGACTGAAATTCAGTCTCCAAGATATTATTGTTATTGCAGCTTTTGTGAATCTCAACCATCAATGGGAATTTGATGATTTATAATAACGTTAAATAAAATATAAAAAATATATTAAAATCAAAATATAACAGCATAAGGAGTATTGTAGTGAGGTGTATATTTTTTTCATAGGATTAGGGTGACTAACGAGCACACAGTCCACCTGGTGGTAAGTGGTTGCTGGGGCCCATAGACATCTTCAACTATCCTCGATAATGAACCAAAATGCAGGTGCATTGTCACTCGTGAGGATTATGAGAAGAGGTTTCCGGTTCTCTACACTCACCATATGCAACACAATAGCTTTAAGCTATTATTTTACGCTGATATTCTGATATACTACAAATATATTTGCAGCATGGCTCTATCACGTGTATATATGGTAGCAGTCAAGCCGTATAGTGGTGACATAAAATAATCGATTACACTGCTGTCATTCTATGATAAACGAACTTACTGTACTCCTTATAATAAATGGCTCCTAGACCATGGGCACCTGCAAACAACTTCAAACAAAGAAAGCCACAAATGCGTTGTCACACTGAGAACTAGTTATATAAGTATGGAAAAGACCATAAAGAAATGGGGAGTTCTACCTGCGACAGATGATGGGATATTATCGTATCGTATACGAAAGATGTAAAAGACTAATTCCCAAATACTAAAACGCTACTCAATTTTAAGACGTCCTTAAGTCTCGTGCTGTCTCTATCATTTTATATCATAATGACTGTGACACCACGAGACAGTGAACGCCATTATAAAATTCAGTAGCGTTTGAGTATTTGACCATAAGAATCCATCACTGGGTGAAATGCACCAGCGGTGACAAGTCTGACGATAACGGCAAATACTTCACACAATAGGAAAAGCCCATTTGCATAAGTGAAATGCTAATTGATGCAGATAAAGAAGATACACGAGATGGTGATTTAACCGTTATTGGACGTCATATTAAGGTCTTCCTGATTATTCGTTAAGCCGTCTCATAGGACTTGCGACGGTAGAAAGGGAATGATGGATTTTATTCTATTATCGAGTAAAAATAAAATAAAAAATTGCGATGGCCAACAAGCTTGCAAAGCGTGACAAATAAAGTGAAGTAATAGCATTGAGTACAGTGCAATATGTTATGTATAAATAATTCTACATTTGAGTGTAATATTCTCGAAGTACTCTGTCTAAAAAATCGCTTCACAAAGGGAACAATAAAGTGCCATTGATAGTGTACAGAGCAGAATTACATTGTTGAGTCGCATTGATGTGAAATATTACGGAGCCTAGTGAATACATTGTTGGAATGAACTAAAAAAGGAAAAAAAACTCCGTTCCTTTAAAAATGCACTTTTTAAGAGTTTCATAAATTTAAGTTTGTTATTAATGCACATGGGGATAATTAATCAATAAATATATAAACAAGACTGAATTTTCTCGGCTCTTTGAGCTATTCTTAGCCCACTTGTTACTACCGTCCTTTATAACGCCACTAATTGAATGATAAATGTACCCGCCAAATTTATATGTTCAATGTTGTTTAAACAAAGATCGTCTTACATTACCGTCATCAGAAATGGTCCGTCTTTAATGTGCACCTACTATTTGTCACAGTGCGTTCATTATTTTGAAGTTAAGACGTGTTTTAAATTAACAGTGTGATTGATTTGCGACAAGGCTTAAAATAATTTTTTAAATATACTTATAAAGTTTTAAACACTACAACGTAGAATCACGTAAAGAACTGTTATTTTAATATAAATGTAACATAAAATAAACTTGAATTTCACGGTTTTTCATGAAAATTATCTTATGTAAAAACTTGTGGCGTTATTACGCCCGGTAGTAAAATTGACGTCTATTTATTATTTCTATATGTTTTAGATCACTGACGAAACGATCTTTGAATCTCAACGACTTAGTTGATGCGTTACACAATATAGATTCTGATGACGATCTGCCCAGTGAAATTAACATTTTTCCACCGGAAGATCCAAATAACGAAATAACAGACGAAGATTCTGGTGATGAAGAATTTGTAACATTACATAATCTCCCAGGTTTGGTTATTTCTTTTGAGCATATTACGAAATTCATTTCAGTCACTGAACTCACAATCAATTGTATAATGTATTTATTACTTTTCAGATTCCCAGCAGAACTCCAGCAGAGATTACTTATGGTGATACGTTTTCAGACCGTGACGATTCTGAAAATGATTTATCTTTGTCCGTGTTGGCAAAAAGAATACGCAATGCCAATGAATGCTTGCCAGAAGATTTGGATCAACAGATATCTTCTACTTCTTGCTCCACTCCATCTATAAGCTGTTCAACGAGGAACGTCACTCTTAGTGTTAGCAAAACCCAACGGAATACGTGGCGCAACAGGCACAATCCAAGTGAATTTACACAGTTGCAGGATCGTGAGGGCCCAAAAAATCAACAGTCACCTTTGTACTACTATAAGTGTATGGTGAATGATGAAGTAATCGAAATTTTTGTACATTACTCTAATCTTTACGCAAGTCAAAGGAATGTCATCGCTAATATAACTACTTCAGAAATGAAGTGTTTTTGGGTATACTTTTATACAGCGGTTATGTCGTGGTACTGCGCAGGTATATGTATTGGGAGAAATCTTCTGATACTCACTTTGATGTTGTTTATAATGCCATGTCTAGGAATCGTTTCACAATGATAATTAAACACTTAATTTGCTGTGACAACAATGTCATTCGTACAGATAGTGATAAATTTGCGAAACTTAGGCCTTTGTTTGATTTACTAAATAAAATTTTCTCAGGGTGGATAAGTCGCTCGCGTCCGTAGGCTTTGACCACCTGTTCCTAGGCCCACCCTACACGTGTCCCCCGGGTGGTGCTAAATGAGCGACAAGCCGATACCACAGACTCGGCTCCACGCCGTGGTAGCGGCGTTAAATATACCACCCCATTTCGCACCATGAGGAATCGAATTAAAGAAATGGCCCCGAGTTCCCGGCGCCCCTTTAATGGGGCAGGGGTGCGAAGAATCTCCAGGAGGAAAACCGGCGACGAGATTCGCCACCCGTCACGTTCTCCCGGTCTCCCGGAGAGGCGAAAAGTGGATTTCAGAGGCCCGGTCTGGCTACGTTGAATGTATGTGGGGCAATGAATGATGAAAGGGATGAAGTATGCGATATGATGTATGATAGAGGAATAGATGTGTTATGCGTAAATGAGACGAAAAGGAAGGGGAAGGATGTCACTACACATGGCATGTATACCGCATACTGGTCTGGTGTAGACGAGATCGAGCGGGCATGCCAGGGAGTAGGTATCATCCTTTCAGAAAGAATGGGCCAATGTGTGAAAGAGTATGAATGTGTAAGCCCAAGACTGCTATGAATACGAATGAAAGTGGGCTTAAAGAAGTTGTTTGTGTTAGAGGTCTACGCCCCAGACATGTCTAAGCCCACTTATATCTGAGAGCAGTTTTAGGAAATGGTAAGGATGGTGTTAATGAAGTGTAAGGGAAAATGAAAATATTATTATGCTGGGAGATTTTAATGGAAGGGTTGGGGTCAGGAGGCTTGGTTATGAAAGGATATAGGGAACGTTTGGTGATGAAAGTATAAATGAGAATGGTGAAAGTACTCACGTATGAGGAAAAGAATCTTTTTGTGACGAACACTTGCTTTCGCCACAAGAGGATGCACATGTATACTTGGGAAAGAGGTGACGATAGAAGCACGATAGATTTCATAATTGTGGATGAAAGATTGAGGGGCGCAGTGGTAGATACGAGAGTTTACCGGGGTTCTAACGTAGGAACGGATCATTATTTAGTTTTTTGCCGAATTAATGGTCTATTCAGGCGTTGGCGCCATCGATCGTCTGTGTCTACCACTGCGTTACAGCGTATTAGAACAGAAAGGTTGCTAGATGAAGGTGGCAGAAATAAGTTCAAATGTAGACTGAAAGAAAATATAAGTGGTTTGGATGAATTATGTATGAAGGAGTTAGACTTGGAGAATATATGGCAAAATGTAAAGAAAGGTTTAGTGGATGCAGCTACCGAAGTATGTGGTGTTAGTAAGAGAAAGAATGAAAGGAAAAATAATAGGTTTGGTGGGATGATGAGATAGTATGGAAGTTGAAGCAAAGAAGAGAGTGGCTACTAGCAACAAAGGCTGCCAATTCTCGTGGTACGAATGGTGATATTGAAAGAAAAAAGGCAGACTTTAGACATCTTAATAAGAGAGTAAAAGAAGTAGTTGAAAGAAAAAAGCAAGAAAGAACGGATAAGAATGATAGAAGAATATCGGATAACTTCCAGGCAAATATTAAAATGTTCTGGAAACTTGTAAGAACTGCCAGGGGATATTCAAAACAGCCTATGATGAATGCTATAAGAGACGAGAATGGCTATATTCTGAATGATGAAGTTTTGAGTTTAAAGAGATGGAAGGAATATTTTGAAAGCGTGTTTATGAGTGATTGGAGAGACAACGTGTGTACTAAGTGAAGTAGAAACACTGAAAAAGAGGAAAGAGGTAGCGAGATAAGTATAGATGAAATAATGAAAGCAATGAAAAGCATGAAAGGGTAAGGCTGCCGGATATGATAGAATTTCACTCGAAATGCTAAGGGCTGGAGAGGAAGTGGTGGTAGGCCTGCTGCACACCTTGTTTAATTTATGCTGGGAACTGAAGCGGGTACCGGTAGACTGGTGCAAAGCCGTGATAGTCTGTAAGGGTCGCAGCAGGACTGTAAAAACTACCGTGGTATCAGCCTTCTTAGCATTGTGGGAAAACTGTATGCTAAGGTACTGATTGAAAGGGTCATAAAAGAAACTGATGAAAAATTTGGGATGTGCATGCGGGATTTAGAAAGGGAATGGGATGTACAGATGAAGTCTTTTCGATGCGCATGATCGCGGAGGAGTGTGTGGCCAAAAACCAAAAGGTTTTTTGTGCGTTCATGGACTTGGAATAGGCCTATGACAGAGTGGATAGGGATTTGCTATGGCAAACACTGAACTCATTTGGGTTGAGCGCTGGCTTGATACAGGCATTTGAGTCTCTTTATAGGGACTCTAGTGCTTGTGAAAGGATCAACGGGGTCTACTCGGACTGGTTTGACATCCATAAAGGTGTCAGACAGGGCTGTGTGGCTTCCCCGTGGCTGTTCAACCTATTTATGGACAGTTGTTTGCAAAATTTGAAAGTTGAAGAATGCGGATTAAGAATGGGTGAGTTAACCGTCAAATGCCTTTTGTACGCCGATGATCAAGTTATTCTTGCGTCGTCGGCGGCCGAGTTGCAAATGATGGTTACATTAATGAACGGATCATTAAAAGAAAGGTGTATGAAGGTGAACGCAAGTAAGACGAAGGTTATGGTTTTTGAAAGAGAAGAAAGTAAAACGATTTGTGAAATAAGAATAGAAGGAGAGTTGATCGAGCAAGTAGATGAGTTTGTATATTTGGGCTGCGTATTTAGCAGGGATGGGAGATATGATAATGATATAGAACGACGAGTGAATGCGGGAAATAGAGTAAATGGGGCCCTGCACTCTATTGTGAAGAGACAAAATGTGTCGAAAAAGGCACGTATGGCAATTCACAATGCTGTGTTGGTCCCTACTTTAACGTATGGTAGTGAAAGTTGGGTGTGGCAGAAGAAGCACGAGAGTAGAATAAACGCAGTAGAAATGTGGTCGTTAAGGAGTATGTTAGGGCTGAATCTGAATGATAGGGTAAGAAATTGTATAAAAGAGAAGAGTGTGGTTTCCAAGATGATGTTGTGACCAGGATTAAGAAAGGAATGCTTCGGTGGTTTGGTCATGTGGAAAGAATGAATGCGGAAAGGGTGTCAAAGAAAAGTTATGGTGCAGAAGTGAATGGCAGAGTCGGAAAGGGACGTCCTAGGCGAAAATTTTTCGACCAAATTGGCGATTTATTGAAAACGGGTCAGATTAGGAGTACCCTTCACCGACGAGCATGTATGCGTAGCTGTATGGATGTGAAGGAGGCAAGAGAGGTGTGTCAGGATCGTGCCAAATGGAAGTCTGTGGTCTCTGCCTACCCCTCTGGGTGACAGGCGTGAGTGTTTTATGTATATTTCTCAGACATGGCACTTTTTGAACAAAACTATAGTATTGACGAAGCTATGGTACCATACTATCGAGGCATAGGAAAAATTTATACGCGGGAAACCAATCCGATGGGGGTATAAACTGTGGGTAGTTGCAACATAGTTTGGGTATGTTTTTTGGTTTGACCCATACCAGGGACATTCTTCAAATATCCCAGCATGGTATATACAATTTGGATTTGTCGCAAGGGTAATTTTGAGCTTTGCTGATGTTTTACAATCGTGCTACCCAAACACTCGATTTCATTTACTTTTTGATAACTTTTTTTCTTCTATCCCTCTTTTTCACGAATTGAGTAATAGAGGATTGAAAGCCACAGGAACTATCCATGAAAATTGTACCTCTAGATGCCCACTACCTGAAAACAAGGTTCTCAAAAAAACAGAAAGTGGCACTCGTCTATAAGTCTAGTCAACCCAAGCAGATCTTAGTCTGCAAATGGAATAACAATAGTGTCGTAAGTGTCGCCTATAATGTGGAACCAATTTCCAACCAATTTCATTTGTCGTAAATGTCAGCTGTATTTACACCCGAAAATATGTTTTATTTTCTATCATACCAAAGTTTAGATTCTTGGCAAATAAACCATTGTAAGCATATGTTTTGTGATTTATTAAATTCCAAAAATGTTTTACTTTTAGAAGCCGGTCTTACTACCGGGCGTTATAACGCCACTCGTTTTCCGGCTTTTCCGGACCACGAATATTTTTTTAAATATTATTTTCATGAATACAACATCGTTTTGGTACAACGTATTAAAAATGAGTTAATTCAGAAACAAAACAAAGTTTCAGTAATATCTGGGTTAGATAAGTTGAGATGTTGAAAATAAATAAATATGGGATCTTTACTAATATAAAGACAAACACAGAAGACTACAAATCCAATGACATCTGTGGACTAAATGGAATGTATCATAGCTAGTGATAATACTGGCTCTCTATAAACCTACTTCAGACCGGAACACAACAGTGCACGCACCGCTGTTTGGCGGCAAAAATTAATAAGAGAAGTACACTCACCCAAGCAAACTACTTGACATAATAAAACACTACCACCTAGTAAGACAGATAAGGTAATTTTACACTTAAAATTAATTTCACATAATAAAGGCTTCTTTAAAGCTTGATGTTTCGTAAACAAAGTTTTATTTATGAAAGTATATAATGAACCTAAAAATTATTTAAAGTATTGTTGCGCGCCTAAGTTGACGTCTGGCACTATCGCCATCTAGTGTCGGGTAACAGAGCGAGGAGAGCTTTCCAGAAAATGACATGACCAATCTTACTTTAGTTGAAGAACTAAACTTTCTAGAAGCCCTATACTCGAACTTTCGGCGCCTAGTCGATTGGCGCGCGTATTTACTTCAATATTCTGGATGTTTCGTTGATAATGTGTATTTAAAGGTGCTGCAAGATGCGATCGAGGCAGTATTGAACTTGGCGAGACAAGCGAAGCTTCGGAGCGAAATAAAACGAATC